TATCATCTGTGATCTACTTTGTCATTATATGAGAAATACATTTATTTCATCTAAATAAATTTGTAATTTTTAAAAAAATTTTAATCATGGTCTAGAATGGTGGTGGTGAACCTATGGCATGCATGCTGCAGCGGGCTGTTTGTTATCACTGAAAGTTCTAAAAGGTTTGCCATCACTGGTATAATATACTACATATAAAAGTTAATATTGGGGCTGGGGATTTAGCTCAGCGGCAAAGTGCCTGCCTGGCAAGCGCAAGGTCGTGAGTTCAGTTCCCGGTACCGGAGAAAAAACAAAAAACAAAAAACAAAAAAAAAATAGGCTTAAATATATTCACATTGTTGAGCATTCAATCTCCAGAACCTTTTTATCTTGCAAAGTTAGAAGTCTATACCTATTAAACAGTAACTCCCATTTCCCTTCCTTTAGCCCCAGCAACCATTCCATTTTCTATTTCTGTATGTTTTACCATCAAAAAGATGTTCAGCAATCATATCAGAAAATGGCACAGGTAATTTGCAAACACTACCAGACCTTACACATCCAATGAGTGGTAATTGTTTCTAGTGATTGTGGCATATTCATTTTCCAATAGTGAAAAATCCTTGTCCTTTAGGAGCAGATAAAAGTTTTGGAAACAAAAAGCTATTTGATATCCAGGTTAGTATATAGGCAGGTGGTCAACTTAGCTAGAACAGTTTTTGTTTGGGATAATAATAATTATGATACAAATAAATTTTAAGATAGAGTCTGATTTTCTTTAGTGTCTACCAAGTTGGTTTGGAAGGCCATTTCAGAAAAGGAATTCCAAAAATATTATAAGCTAACAATAGGCTTTCAGGTTGACTGTGAAGTAGGTAAAAGTAATTTACTTGTAAGTATCTTTAGATTCATTCTTTAAAAGCATTTTAGCAATTTAATTGTTCCACTTACATAATTGAAATATACTTCTACATTTTTTCAGAATATAAGTATATAAAATTTAAAAATTATTGGGTGAAATGACTTTTTTTTTTTTGGTACCGGGAATCAAACTTACAACCTCATGCTTACCAGGCAGGTGCTTGGGCCACTGAGCTATATCCCTGGCCATTTTTTTTTTTGGTACCGGGAATCAAACTTACAACCTCATGCTTACCAGGCAGGTGCTTGGGCCACTGAGCTATATCCCTGGCCATTTTTTTTTTTGGTACCGGGAATTGAACTCATGACCTCTGGCTTGCCAGGCAAGCACATATGCCACTGAACTACATCCCCAGCCCCATGACTTTTTATATGTTATCTTAAATACAAACTTTAACAGTATTGACATAGTTCATATCTTCATATGAATATATACTCTAATGGTTACTTAATGGACAGAGTTTGAAAGTTGCTGTCTTGGTTACTTTTCTCTTGTTGCTGCAGAATTAAGGGAGGAAAGGTTTATTTAGCTTACAGTTTGTGGAAGTTTCAGTCTATAACGAGCTGGCTCCAAGGCAGAGTGGCACATGGCAGAGGGCAACAGTTCATGGCAGCAGAAGACAGCAAAAGCTGCAAGAGCAAAAAGGGAGGAGCAGGCGAGGAGAGCAAGCCTCTTTCCCTTCCTTATATTGTATGCAAGCTATTTGCCCCAGGGCAGATGTAGCAATGATCCATAATCCCAGCATTGGACCATGAACCAATCATAAGCTCTAGAAGCCTGCCCCATGACTGCATGAGGCTTTAGGGGGACATCCAGACACAAACCGTAACAGTTGCCTATGACCTGGGCAATAATTAGTTATTTTTAGTAGATCTCCAGGGGTGGAGGAAGGGAGAGCAGTGGTTTGAAGTGCAGAAAACTGTTATCGCAGTTAAAAGTTTACTCAGCACCTGAGAAGGTGTCTTAAATCTGTTAAAAGGTATTCCAGCTCACACATCAGAGGGAGTGTCAGGGGAAGAGTGGGATGATCTGAGTGAAACAGGGTGAGGGTAGGAAGGTTGGGGAGAGAGAGGAAAAGGAGAGAGGGAAGAGAGTGGGAGAGAGACTTAGAATTCAGTTCCGGTGTATGAGAATCAGCCACCAAAGGTGGAAGGTGCCAAAGACCAAAGAAAGACAAATCCAGGATCACAGCAGGTATAATTTACTGGGGACTTAAGGACAGAAGTGTGTCTTGGGTGGCTGGAAGATTGGAGGTAAGAGAAACGCTTTTATATGCTAAGCTAGACAAAGGTGGGCCCTGACCAGCCAGAATGTACCTTGGTTTTCTCAAAAGCTGTTCATATGTTGAACATCAGTCAAGAAACAGTTCAGGCATCAGTGGCTGGCACAAAACACACAGCTGACCGTTTTAATCACTTTTTATTCTGTAGGGTTTGGGCTGTGTTCCAGGGTCACCTGGAAGGCAAGAGGGCAATTACGACAAAGACTTCCGTAGTCATATTAAGCTGGATCCTTACATCAAAGAGGAGAGTAGGAAGGATGATAGAGGCAGAGTAAGGAAAAAGAAAACTGTCAAGAGTGGCAAAGAATGAGGAAAGAAGGAAAAGAGTGGAAAGGCCTGGGAGCAAACCCCAGGGATACAGTGTGCAGTGAAATCCCGGGAGCCTTGTCTGAGTCACAGCAGCCCAGCCGCCCTGGCAGGGCACCTAACCCATGGGTGCCAGTGGGCTCCAGGAAGGGTGATCTAGAGCACGACGAGACAGGCCTCCATCACACTAGATACAAAGATGACCTTTTGTACAATGGTTGCTTCCATTTTTTTCTAGCAAAATGCCTGGGCTTTAAAAACTAAGGAGGTATTTCCTAACAGATGCTATAGTCCCATTTTTTTCTTCTTTTTTATCAGATGGTTTTTTGCTGTCATGGAAACAAGTTAGTTCCTTTATTAAAGAAAAGAACCCTAAGTAAGACTTCACATAATTGTAAGCATAGAGCAAACTCTAATGGAGGGGGAAAGTAAGTACTCAATAAATACGTATTTTTGAAGATATCCTCAAAGTTTTTTCAACATTTGTTAGAATAAAACGTACTGAGATAGGGGTGTAGCTCCGTGGTAGTATGCATGCCTAGCATGTTCAAGGCCCTGGTTCAATCCCCAGTACCAGTCAGTCAATCAACCAGTCAGTTGTACGTGATAGTATTTCTTGCTATCATACATTCGATTTAATTTTTGACAATATTGTATGACAAAAGTAAACTATGATATTTAGATTTGTACTTTTATCTTCCATTGCACTACAAAATAACATAAAAAGTTATTTTTTTATATTTTACCAGAGTACTTCAGTGGTTCATAGGTCTTTTTTTCAATTACCTAATCTCAGCGGATTTGGTTTGGCTGGTTGGTTTTATTGGCTTTGATTTTTGTTGTTATTGTTTATAATCCTATGCCCACAGTTTTTGCTCTGCTCCAAGATAACCATTGCCCAATTTAATTATTAATGTTTTCACACTATTCATTTATATCACCATTTTTTCCATGGTATTGTCTAAATGTAGCCCTTTCACTAAAAAGATTCTTTACAATCATCTCTTTCATCCCTCTAAGGATCTACATAATTGAAGTGATTTGAATTCCGTCTCTCTCACTCTCCACCTGATTAACTGTATCTCATTGAGTAATTAGTTACCCTTCAAGTTTCATTTCTATAAAATTAAGAAAATAATCCCTGCTTTTGCGTTGTGAAGATTAGAACCAACATGTGGCACGCGCGGGGCACACGCCCTAGCACTTAAGCTCTTCCATGTGGCAGCTGGCTCAGCCGTGTCACACCCTTGCCATCGTCTCTCTCACTCCACCCTGAGTTTCCCAACCAGAATTCACTAAAAATGTCAATGTTAAATTTTTTTTAGCATAACACTTGAACTGTGTGTAACTTAGCCCTGTCAGACTGAAATTATTTGGAGCTGGAATGAAATACCCTATCTCAAATATACTTTTTACCTTTTAAACTCTTTCCAGTTTGGCCTTTCATTTGCAGTTTCTGCGTTTTCCTTCTTGGGCAGGATCCTAGCTAATATTTTTGTGAGTTTTCCCCCGACTCAATTATATGGTACATAATCAAGTACAAGTTATATTTCTAATAGTATATGTATGTAAGCATATATATACATATATATAGGGTATGATTCATTTGTGCATATACCTACTGTGTACAGAAACTTGAGAGTGTATCTATGTATGTACCTTATGTATACATTCAATGTGGGTGTGTATGAATGAGACAAACAGACAGCGTGTCATTTGTTGGCTGTACCCACATATGTATGCTGCAGGAACTCTACCCTATTAGTCTACCCAATTATATTTCTCTATTATTGAATCTTCAAG